ATTGGGTCGATGCCAATCATCAAACGTCCGTCCATTGTAATCCTATTTTCCAGTACTTAGTCCATAGCCTTGGATGGCACTTCAAGTGTTCACCTAAATGCTGTACTTCTTAAATGTCTTGATGGATCCTGCCTCTACCACTCTTTAAGGCAGTTAGTTCCAGATATCTGCAACCTTCCTTGAATCCCCTTTACACCTCCTGGTCCTTACCTTAAAACTGTGTCCCCTGGTCGTTGACCCCTCTATTAAGGGGAAAAAAATTCTTCCTATCTACAGTGTCTGTGCCCCTTAGAACTTTGGACATCTCAAACAGCTCCATCCCAACCCTTAGGCTGATCTGATCAATGGAAAAGAATCCATCTTATCCAGTCCCTTTCATAGTTAAATTGCTCCATCTCAGGCACCATCCTGGTGAATCTCCTCTGCACACTCGTTAGTGTAGAGAAATTCTTCCTATAGTTTGGCAACCAGAACTGCACACAGTGCTCAACTGAGGCTTAATTAATGTTTTACACAGCTTCATCAGAACAACCTCCTTGTTCATGTATGCAGTGCCTTGGATGATAAAGGCAAATATCCCATATGCCATTTAACTGACTTATCAACCTATGCTGCTGCCTTCAAGGATCTATGGACATATACACTGAGGTCCGTCTGATCCTACTATTCATTGTGTGCTCCCTTGCCCTATTAGTCCTTCCAATTTGCAGCATCTCACATTTTTCAGGATTAAATTCCAATTGCCACTGTTCTGTCCATCTGACCAACCTGTCTATATAGTCCAATAGTCTGAAGCTTTCCTCCTCACTTTTCACTACACCACCAATTTTTGTTCTGTCTACGGACTTACTGATCAAACCATCTACATCTGTGTCTAGATCATTAATGTATACACCAAACAGCAAGGGACCCAGTACCAAACACTGTGGTATGTCACTGGCACAGGCTTCTAGTCACAAAAATACCCTTCAACCATAACCCTCTGTTTCTTGCCATAAGCCAATCTTTCATCTTTGTTTTCAAAACCTGCCTTGACTTTATCCATCTCTGAACCTGAAACCTCCTCCAGCCCTACAACCCTCTGAGATATTAGTACTCCTCAAATTCTGGCCTTGAGCATCCCAGTTTTAATTTGCTCCACCATTAGCAGCCATCTCTTCAATTCCAATGACCCTTAACTTTGGAATTTCCTTCATAAATCTTTGTACCTCTCCACCTCTCTTTCTTCCTTTTCAATGTTCCTTAAAATCTATTGTCATGACCAAACTTTTGGTCACCTGCCCTAATATGTCCCAATTTGACTTGACGTACAGTTTTGTTTGACAAAAGCCTTGAGAACATTTTACTACATGAGGTACTTTAGAAATACAGATTTTTGTTGCTTTGGACCAATTGAAATGCATAAATTTAATAATGTTTCTTCTCACAGATTATGAGTTTATAAATTGTACACCATTCAAAACATTCAAATATGTCAATTATGATAAATAACGTTCGGGATAGCATTATCAAAAATGTGAAGGTGATGATCATTATAGGTTAAATTTAGGTTCTCCCATAGCTTTGAGATAAATGGATTATCACACTGGGTACAAACTCTTAAGTAGCATTAAATGTGAAGTATCAATTTATTTGACAATGGACAAAATAACAAGGAAAAGAAGTTAGCTTGCACTAATACAGGATCTTTCATATTCTTAGGATGTATTAAAAAGCGTTTCACAAGGACAGTTAGGAATGGGCAACAAATATTGCCTTGCCACTGATAACCAACATCCCAATCAAAAAACTTTTAAAAATCAGTGGGTACTCAACATAGTCAGCGTTGAAAGCCAATAACATTGTCTGAAACTTTAATAAAGATTGAAGTTGTTAGTAAGAATGAAGGATTAGCAAAATTTCTTCTGGAGAAATTGAAGAGACAGTTCTCTAAAGACAAACATGTGTCCATTACAGGCAGAGAATGGGGAGTGTAGAATAGAAAATAGAGAAATGTCAGTGAAGCAACATATAAAGAAAAACAGAAAAAGTTTCCCTAAAATAATAAAGTCGAAAGGTTTTTTGAGAGTGTGGAATTCAGATAAATTAGTAATAGTAAAATTGAAGAAATTCATAAGATTGAAAATCAAAAAAAATCCCCCGGACCCAATGACCTTCACCCTAGAATAATGAAACAGATGGCTATACAGTTAATGGATGCACTGGTGATCACCTTTTAAAATTCTGTTAATTCTGCAATGCTGCCTACAGATTGGAATATTCCAAATGTAACCCACTGTTTAAGAAAGGAGAGGGTGAGAAAATGGGGAGCTACAGTTAGGCTGACATCAGTATTCAGAAAAATACTGGAATCCATTATGATTACTGGCCATTTAGAAAATAATTGTTTGATTAGGCAGAGTCAACATAGATGTTCTGAAGGAGAAGTCATGTTCCATGAACCTGATAGAGTTTTCAAAGTAATATTTGATAAACCTGGTAGAGTTCTTTGAATATGTTACTAGCAAAGTTGATAAGGGGGACAAAGGACTCTCAAATCACTCTGTTCTGCATCTTTCTGCAGTCTTTCTCCATTTAACTGATGTTCTGTTCCTCTATTCTTTCTGCCCAAATGCATAACTTCACATTTTCCCACAGTATACTTAACCTGTCAAGGTCCCTTTTCAGAATCTTTGTGTCATCCTTACCATTTGGCAGATCAATGAGCTTTATGGCCTTCTCCTGTTCCTTTGTTCTGAAAGGCTTTGTCATTTAAATGCAGCTATAACCCAAGAACCTGACCTTTCTGCATACTAATTATAACATCTGAAAGAATAGGCACTCTTGTGTTTATGTTGTACTTAGTGATGAGATTAGAATAAACTAATATTTCAGGTTTGCATTGGGGCATCACAAAACTGTTCTGAAATACATTTAAATAAATTCCAGGTATTGATAGGACTGGATTAAAAATAGGCTCCTACCACTTACTGATCTACCTTTAATTCATTGTGTACTTAATTTCCAACTTTCATTCCACTGTTAGGAAGCTGACATTTCACTCCCACAAAATTTGTTGCCTCCAACTGCCTCCTTTCATGCTCCCAAGAGCAGTATTATACTCCACCCTATAGTTTCAAAAGGTCATGGTCAACATTAGCTCAGAATAGAATACCTATCAAATAGTATTAGACTATCGAAAGCAAAAAAAAACTTTGACTGGAACAACTTAAATTCATTTAAGAACAAATAGTAATGTAAATTATCTCAACGCATACTTACTTTTGGCATCAAAAGAGATCAATTCAGAACTTCCTCCTTCTGGATTCAAGCCTAGTAGTGTGGAAAGGCACTCTGCTACCTCTTCCTCAGTCATACATTCACCTAGAAAGCAAAACAAAAAGCAAGAGAAGGATTTTATAGTGCATCTACACTTCAAAAAGCAGATATTTTGTGCCAGAAGCATGGTGACAATGGCATGTAGCTAACATATTCATTTTTTCATTATCATTCCATGTAATTATTTTGGGAATTTCCAGAATGGAATTTTCATCTTTGTATTTTCAACACATTTAATAATTATGTATAGAAGATGGGTCTCATGGTACTTATTAAGTTTTTAATAATCAAAATAATTGACAAATGTCATATGGCTAAAACCACTCCTACCAGTTGCTTTCATGATTAGAGGCAAGCAATGATAACTGAGTTGGATTCACTAACATAAATTTTTTTAAAATGAATACATTATGTCCCGAGGAAAGAAGTAATAACCATTGGATATTCGGTATGCTATTTGCAGTTCTTTGACCATGACTGACTGAATTTGCAACCAAGTTATTACAACAAGTAACAATTGAGTTTCACTAGTTTTGATCTGAATTGCTGCGTGAGATCTTCACTCAGGATCGAGTCACCTTATAACAGTTAGGCAAGCACTTAGTAAATCAATGAGAGACATTAAAGTGGAAATAAGGAAAATATAAAGTTGAGAGAGAGAAATATGTCATGAATCCTTGAACCTAAATCTACTATACACTGTGGAGTTGGAGGAACACAGCAGGCCAGGCAGCATCAGAGGAGCAGGAGAGTTGACGTTTTGGGTCAGGACCCTCCTTCAGAAATGGGGAGGTGGAAGGGAGCTGGGAAATAAATAGAGAGAGGAGGGGTGGGGCTGGGGAAGGTAGGTGGGATAGTGATAGGTGAATGCAGGTAGGGAGTGGTGAGGATTGGTCAGTGGGATGGGTGGTGTGGATAGGTGGGAGAGAAGATGGACATGTTGTGTCAGGTCAAGGAGATGGGAATGAGAGGGGAGGTTTGGACATGAGTTGGGGAAATTTTAAAACAGGTGAATTCTATGTTGAGGCCATTCGGCTGAAGGCTGCAAAGGCAGAATATGAGGTGTTTTCCTTCAATTTGAATGTGGTGTCACTGTGACACTGAAGGAGGCCCAGGATGGACATGTCACCAAGGGAGTGGGAGGGGGAGTTAAAATGGTTGGTGACCAGAAAGTGTTGTCATTTTTCGTGAACAGAGCGCAGACGCTCTACAAAATGGTCTCCGAGTCTACGCTTGGTCTCACTCGATGTAGAGGGGGCCAAATCGGGAGCAGCGGATACAGTAAAACAAGTTGGCAGATGTACAGGTAAACCCCTGCCTGATATGAAAGGTTTGCTTTGGGCCTTGAATGGGGGCGAGGGGGGAGGTGTCGGGGCAGGTGTAGCACTTCCTGAAGTTGCAGGAAAAGGTGCCAGGTGTGGTGGGGTTAGTGGGGAGTGTGGAGCTGATGTGGGGGTCGTGGGTGAACAGTCCCGACAAAAGGCAAGTAGGGGTGGGGAGGGAAATATCTCTTTGGTTGTGGGGTTGGATTTTAGGTGGCGGAGGATGATGCCATGGATGCGGAGGTTGGTGGGGTAGTATGTGAGGACAAGGGGGATTGTGTCTTTATTTTTGTTGGAGGGAGACGGTTTGAGGGTAGAAGTGTGGGAAATGCAAAAGATGTGGTTGAGGGCATTTTTGACCACCGGAGGGGCGGAAGTTTCGGCCTCATCCCATGCCCAATCCTCCCTCTCATCCCCACCTCCTTGACCTGATACAATGTGTCCATCTTCTCTCCCACTTGTCCGCACCATCCATCCCACTGACCAATCCTCACCACTTCCTACCTGCATTCACCTATCACCATCCCACCTACCTTCTCCAGCCCCACCCCTCCTCTCTCTGTTTATTTCCCAGCTCCCTTCCCCCTCCCCATTTCTGAAGAATTGTCCCGACCTGAAATGTCAACTTTCCTGCTCCTCTGATGCTGCCTGGCATGTTGTGCTCCTCCAGCTCCACTGTATTGTCTCTGACTCCAGCATCTGCAGCTCTTGCTATCTCTAAATCTGCCACATCTCTGTTTTCAGAGCTGTGCTGAGCTTTACTTACTTTGTTGGATAGCAAGATATCAGCTATCCTTTGCATCGTGTATATGTCACTCAAAACCACTAGTTTATGAAAATATTTGTATTTGTTTCCTTAGTTTATACTATGGAAACATTGTGAGTTTATACTTCCGCCATTTCTGGGTGACTATACAGGAGCCCAGTGAATGGAAATTTTTTTCCTTCTTTTTCTTTGTGTGATGTATGTCTGTTTTCTGGCTTTTCATTCTCTTGCATAAAACCAAAAGTTTCACTATGTCCAAACTCATTATACTTCCACAACAAAAACAGATACAAATAATTGGCCTTATTCTCAACCTAAAAAATCTGTGTACGCACAGCTCCATCTAATGGCTTACTATATAAATTTCATTTGGATCATCATTAACATATCAAACTAAATTTCCATGCAAAAACATGAGAAAACATACTGTACTTGAATCATGTAATACTTTAGTATCTAATCATCTGCAATACCAGGAATATCTTCAGGAAATATGGGCTTCTTCTGCTATCCTGTTTTCATGTTATTATGTGGATACCCTTATGTATACACAAACTTCACTTCAAAGTTCATAGAATCCCTACAGTGTGGAAACAGGCCCTTCGACCCAACAAGTCCACACTGACCCTCAGAGCATCCCACCCAGACCCCTCCCTGAACATTATGGGCAATTTAGCATGGCCAATCCACCTCGCCTGCACATCATTGTACTGTGGGAGGAAACCCACGCAGACACGGGGAGAATGTGCAAACTCCACACAGACAGTTGCCCGAGGGTCGGAATCAAACCCGGGTCCGTGGTGCTGTGAGGCAGCAGTGCTAACCACTGAGCCACCGTGCCGCCCTAAAGTGTTTACTATAATCCAAAATAATCATATCCTTGATTCATATCTTTGTCATATTATGCACAGGGGTCTGGGTAGGTTCTGAACAGACAAATCATGATACTTCTCCACAATGAACAAAAATTGATGAACAAGTCACCTAAGCTTCTTTTGTGACTGTCATATGGCTGAGAGAGACATGGTAATGAAATAGTAATGTCACTGGACTAGTGACATCACAAGTTAATGAGACTCAGGTTCATTCTCTAGGAATGTAGATTTAAATCCCACCTTGACATCTGGTGAAATTTACACTCAATAAGTATGGTGACCATGCAACTGTCATTGATTGTTTTAAAAACTGCACTTGATTCACTAATGCCCTTTAGGGAAGGATATCTGCCATCCTTACCTGGTCTGGTCTATATGTGACTCCAGACCCACATCAATGTCACTGACTATTCACTGCCCTCTAAAGTTGTTCAATTATTCAATCCAAAGGCAACTAGCAATGGGCAACAAATGTTGGCCTTGCCATCAGCACCTACATCTCTTGAAATAATTTGAAAAAAGATTAGTATTGTGCTGAGTTGTTTTCACTGACTATGTGCAAGATTACAATATAGAATTAAAAACAGAGGTGAAAGTGATGATTGTGTTGGCAAGTGTTCAGTCCAGTTTAATAACCAGTTATACAATTAAGGAAGAATGATGGCTATTTAGAAAGTACCTTCCCAATTCACTCAGAAAACTCTCAAACTGCTTCACATGCAATTAGTTTATTCCAAGTACACACTGAGGTTCATGTGTATATTTGCTACAAATGGCCTAGTATCTGGCTGAGGGGAAATGGAAACATTATTCAGGCCTGCTCCTGTTCATCATCTAGCAATGCTTATGGGATTGCCCAAGAAACATCTGGTAAGAAAATAATTAGGTTTGCCATTTGACTTCTGTCATGCTTGCTGGACAGGACAAGACACAAAGCTGGGGTTCATAATTACTTCACAACATCTACAGAAATTTCACACACCATTTTGACTTGGAAATATATCACATTCCTTCATTGTCACTGGGTCAAAATCCTGAAACTTCCTTCACAAACAACACTGTGGGTCTATCTACTTCATTTGGACTTTAATGGTTCAAGAAGGCAGCACAACATCACCTTCTGAAGGACAATTAAGCAAATTAGCGATACACAATAAATGGTAATCTTGGCAGAGATGCTCACATCCCAAGAAGGAGTGAATCAAAAAACCTTGATGGATGATTCAGCTCGGAGAGGTTCTCCATCATGAGATAACTGAACTGTAGTCATTTATTAGATTTATTTGTAAAAAACGTCTATTTGAATGAGTTGTCATAAGGCTCTTACAACTATGGAACTGTATCTCAGTTTAAGAAGTCATGTTTAAAAGAACCAAGGAAGATGTTAGAAGGAAAAACATTGAAGAAAATGTGAGTACTATGCAGTTTTACATGGTACTAAGTATTCAGTATAAGTGGTGAACAGATTTATTGCTATGTTACTCTCTCAGTGATTCTCTGTATTTATATTAACATACTCATTTCTAAAAAATAAATTGTATTTATATGTCATCTTTCAGTACAAAAGGACATCTAAAGCACTTTATAGTTGCTATTAAGTACTTTTGAAATGGAATCAATGTTGTAATATAGTAAACAGTCCATCAGAGTGTAGTGAGCCTCTCACAAATAGCACTGTGGTAATAATTAGATAACCCACTTTACAATTTAATTGTTGTCATTTGACTCACCTCCACTTTGCAATAGTTGCAATAATTCTCCTAACTTAATTGCTTTGTCTCCATTCTCATTGTCGTAGCCAAGAACATCAAATGTATGACGCAACTCAGAAGCAGTTATGCCAAAAACAGGTCGATGGTTTATATACAGTTTAATGAATTCACCTAAATCAATGTCTGTCACATACATTCCTGTGTCCACATATTTATTGAACTTCACCTCATTCAGCATGTCCTCTATCTGTAATGAAAGTCATCAAAATTAGCAAATTATTCAATCTATCTAACAGAAAATTACAGCACTCTTGTTCTTTTTCCTGATTTTATTTGCAGGTGCCATTGTGGTGGGTGGGATCTGCTCCAGTCATTAGTGGAATTAGGTCTTTGATTTCAAAGATACTAAAGTGCCCAAGGTGAGGCATAAGCTTACCAGTATATCACCTAGGTACATTGAGGTTCTTTATCACTGCTTCATCCTGGTCTCTATATCTGCTCTAACTTTTACACCCAAAACTCTTATCTTTCTCTAACTGTTCCTGCATTCTCAACATCTACTTGTACTCTGCCTTTCCCTTTATATCTTAATTTTTTTTGTCACATTCTGTCTAAGATCATTCTAGACTCCCACTTTGTATCAATCTGCTTCCTCCCCTCAGCCTACAGCCACTACCAATTATCTTCCACCCTTTAAAGACCCTGTTTGAACAGAGGATTTCATTTAGTTTTACAGCATTATGAAAAATAGACTAGTGTATATCGTATTTATGCCTTAGTGGGTCTGCTTAGCCATAGTAAGGATGCTTATCACATGGTTTACCACCATGGTGCAAACTACCATCTCATGCAATGAAAGGCTGCCATATGTGTGCTTTCTTTGCCATGTTTATTCAGAAACTGTACAACAGCACATAGTAGAAGAAATGCAAATTATTTTTGTGGACTTGAACATATACAATGTACCTCTTTCTCTGTAGGGTAGAATCCCAGTGCTCTCATCATAAATGGTATTTCCTGCAGTGGAATATGAGTTGATATTTCCCTGGGCTCCATTGTACTGACATGCTGGTAACGCAGCTGTGAATAGTAGAAATAGTTCTCCATCTCCTTCAGAGCACATTAGAAAACACAAAATATTAATTGATTGGAACCAAAGGAAAATCCGACTGAACTATAAAACACATATATTCAAATGCATTTTCTTCATTTTTTTGTTCTTCATGTCCATTAATTCCAGATGGCGCTAATGCCGAATAAGAATTTGCTATATGTCTTGCTTAGGTGAGACTATGAAGAATACCATGATGAAGTGGCAAAGATGGAAATTATAATGGTAATATCATGACAAAAATAGATATGTATTCATCTATGGCACCATCTATTTGTTTGCCAACAGAATGCATCATAACTCTGCTGTGTTACTTGCTTTCTCAACCTAGTAACCAAGGAAATTGATCCTTGTTCCCCACTCTCTGGGGCCATTTGTTTTCCTTCGTGGTCAGTAAGCTGTGGTTGTCTTTAACACCAAACTCTGTTAACTTAGAGATAAGCAGGAAACTAGTTATATCCCTTTTACTTTGGGTGGGCCTGGGCTACGGGGGTTTGAGGGATTGATATGGAATATATGGCTATTCCAGAATTCAGGTTGGATTTTAAGCAACTTTTACATTTGGTGCTTCTATAATTTCAACAGGGGAAACCTAAGCCTTTTGCCAACTCTCTGCATTTATTTCTAAAACTGATTCCCTTATTCTGATGAAAGAAGTGTTATCCCTAAAATGGTGGAAAATACAATGTTATGGTTGAGAAAATGGAATCAGCTTCGTCAGTGAAAGACAGTCTTTTGCAACACAAACTATGGGATCACTAGGTGTAACGGCTGATATGTTTATGTTTATTCAGTTATACATAAACTAACTAATAATAATACTATTTTTAAAAAGCATGGAATTTTCATTTAGTGTCCTGAATATTTATCCCTCGACTATCACTGCATAAGGATAAATGTTGCTATTGCTATTTGTGGGCCTTGAGATATGTGAACTGGCTCAACCCTATACAAGACTTAAAAGTGACCACGTGCTGAATCTTAAGGGTTTTATTTGGCTAGATCTGAGTCTTTTGGAAGAATTGCCACCATGAGGCCTAGTGCGTCTTCTGGGCGTATCTTACAAATCTTGCCTGATTAACTGTGGAATCCCTCCCATCCAATCATGGTCCCATTTTATCACGCACCGTTCCTAGAACAACTTGCCCCTCAGCAGATATCCCAAAATTCATTGGTCTTTCTTGTGTCCATGCTTTCATTAAAAGTCTATTGTGCACACAGAGAAACACTGTCAGTCCAGAGCTACCCTGCATGGCTCCTGAAATTTGCCCTCAATGTGGCAGATGGGAGGTGGGGGTAAGTTGTCACACCGCTGTGCAGGCAGGAACCTGAAGGTCCTGCTGGACAGGGTGGTGCACAGGAAGGACTTTCTCTTCCCTTAGGAACAGCAGTGGAGGCCATGACACCAGACCATGCTCACCTGGTCCGAAGTTGCCATGTGCGTCAGTGCAGTCTCAACCATCTAGAGGAACGTTCAGCACAGTAGAAAGAAGATCAATTACCTTCTCCACTCTGCCAGTGTTAACTACCACCATCTTCTCTACAATACCAACACTTACTCTTTCTCAGCTACTGTATTCACCATCCACCAAAGCTTGTTTTCTGAGGTGGGGTCACTCAACTCGAAACGTTAACTCTGAATTTTCTCCAGACCTGCTGAGCTTTTCCAGCAATTTCTGTTTTTGTTTCTGATTTACAGCCTTCGCAGTTCTTTCAGTTTTTATTAAGCTTGATTTTTACAGCTCTCACTAATAACTGCAACATCCTCCCTCACACACTGTCACCCACCAAACCCCCCCATACCACTAATCAACCCTTTGTGCTATCTCATCTCCTGTGCCAAAAATAACAGTTGTGCCACCCACTCACATTTCCCTTAATACCTGCTTCATTCTCATTCTATGAGGAAAGTAGTCCTCAGTAGGCAAAAACACCTCAAGACGAGTGATGGACTATCCAACATTCCTAATGTGGAAAGCATCCTTCATCTGACCACCCTGACTGGCTGACTGACCATTTCCAAGCCTGGTATCATAGGCTGCCACTGATTTTCTGTGCTGGGACCCGCAAGCAAAGGTTTGATTGAAGGCTACTAAACATAACAAGCTTCCTTCCCTGTGTCCAAACTAAATGGCAAAGCAATCCATAAGTATTATGAGCCTCATATCTCCAGCTGAGGGGTAAACCGCAAAAAAGGTAAGGTAATGCAATGCAATGCAATGCAAGGCAGGGCTGCTGTGAGCATCAGAAATAAAGTTAAAGTGGAGAGCCCCAGTCTATGAGTAGAGTTTCCTTGCTGCAGCATAATGATGATCATTTCTGGTGCAGCATTGAAATGAAGAAGCATAGCATAAGTAGGATCAGAGATGTGCCTTGAGGATTCTTAGAAACTGGCACATGTCAGATGCCAATGTCCATGAATGTGGAGTCCAGTGGCTGGTGCCCATGCAATGTGCCCTGAAATTTTGGTACCAGTGCCCAATTTGGAGGTTGTTTGGAGCAAGCAGTGAGCTGAATTTGCCACATATCATGTTTCCATGGTACCTAGGAAACTCTGCTTTCCCTCAGCGAGTTTGGGAAAGATAGAAAACTGAGTATTAATGAGGTGAGTTGGGCTGTCAGCAAGACATTTAACAAACAATCATCCCCTTTAACTGGCAAGTTGGTGCTGCCTTTTGAGAAAGTCACCATGCCACTTGTGAAAAGCATAAAAGCCGGAACAAGAAGCTTCTGACGTTTAGATGATGCTGGCCAGACTTTTCATCTGATTTTGTCAATACAGTGTGGAGCTGGAGGGACACAGCAGGTCAGGCAGCATCAAAGGAGAAGGAAAGTCGATGTTTCAGGCCTAGACCTTTCATCAGGACTGGGAAGGGGGAAGGGAGCTGGCAAATAAATAGAGAGAGGAGGAGTGACACTGGAGGAAGCCCAGGATAGACGTGTCACGAAAGGAGCGGGAGGGGGAGTTAAAATAGTTAGCAACCGGAAGGTGTTGTTAATTATAGCATATGGAGCACAGGTGCTCCGCAAATCTGTCACCAATTCTACATTTGGCCTCAGCGATGTAGAGGAGGCCACATCGGAAGCAGCGGATACAGTAGACCCGGGTTGGAGGATGTACAGGGGAATTTAAATGGTTAGCAACCGAAAGATATTCGTCATCCCCCCAGACCACCCCCTCACTGAGGACAAACAATCAGTCCTCAGGAAAGGACTCACCTTCATTCCCCTGTGCACACACATCAACGAATTCCATTCAAGTCTGGATGTTGAACTCTTTTTCCACCACCTCTGCGTCCAAGCTTATTTCTTTCATTGAGAGTGTAATCCATCCTCTGCTGACCCCTTCTCCCACCTCCAACACACCCCCTCCTCCTGGACACCACCCCACGGCCTCCTACTCTCTCTTGACCTCTTCATCGATCGCCTCAACTCTCCACCCCCGTCACTCCCTCCAACCTCTACCTCATGGAACGCACAGCCCTCTGTTCCCTCCGCTGCAAACTTAACGTCACCATCAAACCCACTGATAAGGGGGCACGGTGGTGATATGGTATACTGACCTTTACAGCGCAGAGGCCAGGCGCCAACCCTCTAAAACCTCCTCCTACTGCCCCCTTAATTTTGACCCCACCCCTGTTACCAGACCATCATCTCTCAGACCATCCACAACCTTATCACATCAGGAGACCTCCCACCCACAGCCTCCAACCTCATCATCCCCAAAATCCACAAACCTGACTGCCCCGGTCGACACATTGTGTCTGCCTGCTCTACCCCACTGAACGTATCTCCACTTACCTTGACTCTGTCTCCCCCACACCATCCCGCCCTCCACCTCCACCACCACCACCACCCCCACCAACACCCCCCCCCCCCCCCCCCCCCCCCACCACCACCACCCCCCCCCCCACCACCCCCTCCCCGGTCCAGGAACTCCCCACCTACATTCAGCATAGTACCCACTCCCTCTACCTCCTCCAGGATTTTCAATTCCCCGGCCCCCAAAACCTCATCTTCACCATGATTGTCCAGTCCCTGTTCACTTGTATCCCCCATGCAGGTGGCCTATAAGCCCTCCGCTTCTTCTTCTCCCACAGGCCCAACCAGTCCCCCTCCACCAACACTCTCATCCACTTAACAGAACTTGTCCTTACACTGAACAACTTCTCCTTTAACTCCTCCCACTCCATACAAACCAAAGAGGTGGCTACTGTCACCTGTATGGGTCCGAGCTATGCTTGCCTCTTCGTAGCATATGTGGAACAGTCCCTCTTCCACTGTTACACTGGCACCATCCATCACCTCTTCCTCCGCTGTATCGATGACTTTATCAGCATTGCCTCGTGCTCCCATGAGGAGCTTGAACAGTTCATCAACTATATTAACACTTTTCACCCCAACCTTATTCAATTGGACCATCTCTGATACCTCTCTCTCCTTCCTGGACCTCTCTGTCTCCACCTCTGGTGACCGCCTCAGAACTAACATCTATTTCAAGCTCATCAATTCCCACAGCTACCTTGACTGCACCTTCTCTCACCCACCCTCCTGCAAGAATGTGATCCCTGACTCCCAATTCCTCCGCCTCCACGACATCTGCTCCCAAGGTGGAATGTTCCACTCCTGGACATCCCAGATGTACTCCTATTTCAAGGACTGAAACATCCCCCCTCCGTTGATTGAAAATACCCTCAACCGTATCTCTTGTATTTCCTGCACTTCTGTCCTCAAACCCCCTGCCCACAACAGAAATAGAGACAGAGACTCCTGGTCCTCACATGCTACCCCACCAACCTCTGCATCCAGCGCAACATCCTCCACCACTTTCGCCACCTAGAATCCGACTCATTACCAAAGAGATACTTCCCTCCCCACCCCTATCTTCCTTTCATAGGGACTGCTTTCTCTGCGACTCATCCACACCACATTCCCCACGAACCCCACCACAGCTGGTAGCTTTCCCTGCAACCACAGGAGGTGCTACACCTCCCCCCTC